TCTCATACACGTGGTTGAATGCACTCGTCGTAACAATTGCTAAAACCATTAGCTAAATGAATGAAAGTCCAACACTAAAGCGTTCAGCCCTCTACAACCCATTGATTAATCATCTATCTGCTGATGGAGATTCATGTCACAAACTGCAGCACAGACGCTACATTGAACATGTGGTGAGGTGTTTTTTTCGCCCCGAAATCTTGTTACCTCTGTCTAGTTTTGGTCGATCGGTAGCTTCACAGAGACTAAGAGGGAGCAAGTAGGATTTGTGGGTGGTGATGGTTTTTTTTCTTCAGTATTTTCTTTGGGTCAAACTGGAAGGAATCCAAACAGTGGCAACAGATATGAAATGACAATACTCAACAAACACCTGTATTTCATTTAATTTAGCTTCACTGTAGCTGCAGGATTCAAAATGTGCTGCAGTCTCAAATAGCTTCTGATCACGTTTCACTTGATAATGCGTTTTCTTTAGGGATCATATCACTGTTGGGAGATAATATATTGATATTAAAAGCCTCTGTGCAATCAATCTTTCCTCTGGGACATGAAAAAGAAGCTTAATACGTTTTATCAGCAGCAGTTTTTGGTGCCGTGTTCATTATGATTATAGTGCAACGCTATAGGGCTCAAGGGGCTGCTTTGAAATGGTGAGAACAAATATTTCACAACTGGGAGATTTGTGTGAGTTCGGTCGGCCACATAGTTTGAACCAATGACTTCTGGGGACAGTAGTGCAACGTGAGCCGGTAACAATGCGGACGCCCTTCAAAGGCAGCCTGCCCGTCACAAGTCCTTTAAAAGCTCGCTCTTCTAGTCAGAAAGCACTTTGATCTTTTGATAAGAGCTTTTGAAGCAAATAAGGAAAACTTTGTCAATCACGAATCAAGCTCGGCTGTGTGGCACGTTAATTCATGTGAGCTGCTGGGAGCTCAAACTGCACAAAGCAAAGGGTTGAAATGATATATTTTTCTTGTTTGTTTTCTTCATTTTTGACAAAGATCAAAGAAAACACGTGTTTCTTTCTGGCAGCAAAGAAGAATCTATATCCTGCAGTTATTCATATTAACATTCATATTCCTTACTTTTCCTTAGTTTGCAATGTTAAAGTAAGATGCCTCTTTCAATAGATTGATGTATTTGTGCACAAATAACTATTCTCTGTAGTGTTTGTTAATGCAACCGCTCAAAAACAAAGCTAATGTCACATGACTATGTGAATCTGGATCAGCTGAACTGGTTGGACTCGTAAAATATAACCTGCATTGATCTCTACCTGTAAGGCAGGAGATGTATTCTGAGAAAACATTTCTCTTAGTTCAAGGTATTTTCTTTTTATCTTCACACCTCTTTAGCTTCCAGGGCGTTTTCTGCTCCTGACACTGAGCGACCGTGTGTCTCACTAGCTGGCAGCCTGGAGACAAACACAATACAAACCAGCCGCTGCTTTTGCGTCCTTTGAGGTGCCGTGCAGGTAAAGAGGTGCAGAGGGCAGCGTGTGCAGCAGAGCCACAGCTTTCAAGAGTTCCCCAAAATGTAACAATAAAACAAGGTTTAGTTTTGGAGAGAGAAACAAAATTGGAATGAACCGGAGAGGGTGTGAGAACATTTGTGAGCTCATTGCGCTCATGATAATGAGAAACCCGCTGAGTCAATCAGCAGAAAGCTCAGCTGCCGGGAGGCGTCTCCTGTGGAGGCCTCCTGCTTCTGCAGAGCTCCAAAATCCAAATACTCTTGAGTTGTTGACTCGCTTAAATTAGATGGATGTTCCTCTCGTACCACGCAGCGGTCCTCAGACGTATGCGGGAAAATATGAGGTACTCGTGTGGAGAGTTTTGTTCACATACTCACATTCTGAGAAGAATTTGGAGTAATTTCCTGCTGCTGTTTGCACAGCAAAGCGCTTCAGGCTGCATTCAGAATGTTTTGGTAGAAAGATTACAGTAAAGCCATCTTGTTGAGTATGTAACTGGGTGAAATTGCTGCCACTACTTTCATATTTAACTTCCTACCGGGGAAAACCTGGATGTTTTTAGAACTTGACAAATTTTATTATGAAATTTTATCAATAAACACCTGCTATTTTTAAACTAGAGATGACAGCCGTGGACGGATTATGACATGATAAGAACCTGGACACAGACATGTGTTTATCCAATAGTTCTGGATATTTCCATTGGATATGAATTGACTAAAGGGTGTGAAAAGAAAACGTGTAAGAAATGACTTCTTGGCTCGTGGAGGTGATGATGACTGTCAGGTAGATCGCACATTCATTAAGAATGTCTTAGCAAATGAGAAGAAATGTGAATGAAAATCCTTTGTCCCAAAGGTAAAGATATTTATGCCTCAGTGTGCTCAGTATCACCGCGCTGATGTTGTTATTGTCGCAGCAAACCATCACTGAAGATCCTGTTTTATTTCGCAGCCTTGATGGAGCACACATCACCGTGCAAAGCTCTCAGAAGAGCGATGGGGATACGGTAGGAGACAACTAAGCGAGAACATGAGACGCATCGGCCTCTGATCAATAATGAGCTTATGACAGTGATGGACTGCAGGAATCTCAGAAGAAATTGGAGAGACGAACGGTCCAGAGCTCAGAATACACACCCCACCTTGGTTCAAGGGCAATGCTTTGAAGACATGCTGTCAGGCTTGATCTACACGAGCTCCCCTGTATTCAAAGGTTCATTAGTGTCTATGTGCGCTTTGTAAATGAATAGTTCAATCCATTGGTGCTAGTTTTAAAATGTACGTTTTTCTGGTGTTTGATCTAAAGGATCCATGTGTTTATTAAGTGGAAAGCTTCAGAACGGGTGGAAATATTCAACAATTAGAATTAACTCTTAATTAATTAATTCTGTGCCTCAATTATTCTCTTTTGCTTGTGTTTAAAGGATAAATATGATTATTCCATCGGCCACCGTGAGGAAGAACAGCATCCTCCGTCCGTTTCATCTTGTAAAGCACCAGACGGATTTCCTACAATAATAAAAATGAAAAAGCACACCATGTAGAGGCTGCGTGCTTTGTCTGTGTTTGTTTTATTGATGATGAAATGCTACGAGCAGCATATTTAAGCACAAGTGAACGCAACATGATATTTAACATTTTAATACACTGTAATCAGCACTTTGTCGGGATGAAACACTGAAGAAGTAAAGCTCTTCACTCCCCGATATCTGTTTCCCTGAATACTATAAGGTTTAATTGGAATTTTCTGCAGCTCAGTCAGTTTTTTTTACTAAATCCCCGTGTGTTATGTCTCTCTAGTCCCCGTATGGATTTGCTATAGCTGCAACCTGTGTTGTGTACTGCGTTGTTGTCTCTGGCAGAGGCAGAAAAAAACAGAAAAACACTGTGATTTAGTTTTAGAGTTAGCTGGTCTGAGAATAAATCAGCCGACAAAACAAAGCTTAAATCAATATGATACGGTCAATCTGCCAAACGCTATCAGGTGCTCACCCGGAGAAGCTCCTTAAGTGGACTAAACCTGAAATTGCAGAAACATGATGCCCACCGCTTTAAAACAAGAGGCAGTCTACTTTCTGAATAAAAAACCCATGTTTGTGTTGTGAGAAAAAGTGTGGCTGTAATCTCAGCCTGAAACCAACAGAATAGATTAATTACATTCTGGAATGAAACCGCACTTTCAGTTTAAAACACACACACACAGACACACACGCACACGCTTAGCATTTTATTCTCCCGTCTCTTTTCCACAGGCACAATGACGGGCTTCACATAATAGACGCAATTTGGAAGCTGGCGGAGAACATTTTGTGACAAAGAAAGATGACAAGCTCCCAGAATGGTGTCCTTTGGCTGTATGTGAGGGATGGTGATGATGACTGTGAGATACTTACTGGGTCTTTTTCACATTTCAAACCGGGTGTAATCACCGTAACCAGTCCAATCAAGGCGAGCAGAAGTTGGATGTAAAGTACTCCCTTGGAGAGGATTTCATCCTAACAGGTACGGACGTACGGTGACAAGATCATTTAATGTGGTGCTGCATCTACCTTCCCGTCCCCGCGCAGCTAGGCGGGTGTTCTAATGCAGCGGGCCGGAGCGGTGCCGCGTGGGGACGCTAAAGGGCGTCTACGGCCCCCCGGTGAGCCCTTCATTTATCTCACACCAATGAATCCAAGTGCAGGCCTCTGCCACACACAGGCGGCCCCTCTGCTTTCCCAGCGTACGTCATTTATTCCAGCACTGTTGCACGCGGAGAACGTTTCGGCACCCAATTAAACACGGGCGGAAAAAGAGAAAGAGAAAAAAAAGTTGGATGAACTTGAATAAAAACCTCTGAGTTTTGAATAATAAATGCAGTGCAATTCAATACAGGCCATCTCGCCTGGGTGATGTCAGACCTTCGGGGTCTTTGCCACATCTGAGCTGCAGACAGCTACTCTGGATCTGTTGACACTGTTACCACCCACACATGTAGCACGCTTTTTATGCTTTTTTGGAGTTTTAAGCCGCTTCCTTTCCTTTTGTCATTGTTGTTCGTCTCAGATAGATGGAAAATACGTACATTCAGTTAATTCCAACTCTGGGCCAGAACTAAATGTCAAAAGCATTCTAACGGTGTTCACCATGCACACAGAACATATTTGTGGTTTTAGACTATTACCCATCAGTATAAGTAGAACCACACCACATACTGGAGGCTTTTTCTTTAACTCAACTTGTGGAGATGAATCTTTTCTGCGTAGCTGAATAGTCGAGGGGACGTCTGCTCGAGCTCGGCTCCTGAACATCGACACGGCCTTCTTCAATAAGCGCTTGTCCGGAGCACGTCCGGTTTCCATGGAAACACGGCGTGCGATCTCTCTGTATCCGGGCCTCTGCTTCGGGTCTCACTCCTGTGTGCTGCTGGTGCGATCACACACATTAGTCTACTGTGACACGCTGATATGTTTTCTATCTGTCACTGTGGCCTTCTTTTTTACTTCTCTGTCCCCAATGAATATATACCAACAGACTGCACGTGCTGCTCTTTCTCTCTTCATTTTTATTTGCATTTGTAACCGTGGTTCATACAAATAATTTGGTAAACATAATCTCCTCTGCTACTGTTGAGCATCTAATGAACTACTGATGAAACTGACCTGTGGCACACGGTGCAGAGGGTGAGTTTGTCAACAACAAGTGATAATTGATTGTCCTCAATATCTCAGAAACATTGATTTTGTATTTCTTCCTGTTGCTATTAAACATTAATTGCGAGCACACTATTATTTATTTAATTAGTTTTCAAGGATTCAAATGATTCATGACTCCATATTAAGGTCATTTTCACAGTGAGACGGGCCCAGATGAGTTGAGATTGGCTGAGACTCATGGCTTAGCTGAAAACACATTTGCTTTGGTCACTGCTGAGTGGCCAAGTTGCACATTTTGTTCTTTTGATTGGAGAACTGGGGTTTTGTGATGTGTCTGTGAGTCCCCGCAGAATGTGTAATTTACTACCTTTGTTGGTCTCAGAGGATAGAGAAAGTTCAGACACTAAAACATAAAGTCTCACAACTCTTTTCCTAAAAAAGGCCTCATATGACCCCTGAATGTCACATTTTTCTCAAATAAACAAGATGGACCTTTGCATGAAAGTCACTTTTGTAGCAAGGTCATTTAAATGTTGTAGCTCGGCAGAGAAACTCTGGCAGCTCCAGATTAGTGTTCTCACCAAACACGCTGCTGAAAGAATAAGCAGGTCTGACCTATGAGTGCACACTGATACACAATGACAGGCTCACACACAGATACACACATTCCTCCTACAGCAGGTACACACACTGACTCACAATGTAAACACAAGGTTATGGGTAGAACTTGTTTAGTGTGCTACCAAAATCCTGGGCTGCAGTGAATTCATTTGATGTAGTGTGACTTTTAAAATAAAGTCACAGTAGCAGTGAGATGGAAATTAACGTGTGTTAAAGCTCCATCCCTGCAACCAGGGGTTACTGTCATCTTGCATGTTAGGAACCTCTGCTATGTATGTACATACATATCTATATCTATGTATATGTAGACAGTATGTAAGGAAAATACACACAGAACGAGTGGGCCATGGAGAGAGGAGGAGAGGGAGACTGTTATTGATTTGACAGCAAGTTAATTCAAGTCTTTTGTTACCTAATACCATCTAATCCATCGCCAATCACTTCCTACAGCAGAGCACTAAATTCGATTTGCCCCGAGCATGTGGATCCTCTTTCAATAAGACACCTGGGAAAAGAAGAAGGCAATAATAGAGAGAGGATTTCTGCAAACAGTGACTCACGCGCGCCGAGTCAACAGTGTGACTGTGTGACCAGGAATGTTTAATAAAACAAAAGATGTACTGTAGTTGCATCATAGTATATGTTGACGTGTATTCAATGTTGTGCACAAATAACTGAACAACAAGCACAACAAGTGCAATAAAGAAGTATATATCACAATACACAAAAACCTCATTAATTAATGGCTTTGTTGTTCTAAATCTAGATGCTGCTGATTCTTCCTCAGCTGCTCTCAGTTGGCGGATGTAAAAATATTACCTATTTGAGTAAAATCACTGGAATTGAGTTTAGCCTTCTGTCTTTCTGCGATACTGAACTCCAGAATTGTGTACCCAGATTTTCTTCTGGGATTGTTGACGTAGTTTGTAATACTGAAAATATATAAATATGACTCTATTTGACTAGAAATGGAGTCGCTGGAATAGGCTCAATTACGGGGCTTAAAAGACATTTATTTAAACTAAAATCTTTAATATTTCCATTTTACGGTTTTTCCTCATTCAAATCACAAGTGGAAGGTGTTGTTTTCGGTGCAGATTGTAAAGCCTCCTGAGGACAACTGATTTGTGATGCATAAAACTGACTCAACTCCTGAATGGCATAAATCCTAGGTAGTTAGTTGACCAAGTGGGAGCTAACGTTATAATTGGATCTTTGGGGAAACCTCACTGAGGTGTGCTACACTCAAAAACAAATGGCTGATAAGACAGCAGTAATAATTACCTTACACTAATGAGAGAAAAATAATATTAATTAAAAGCCTCCTTAAGTACGTATTCCATGCAGCAAAAGATAGCGACCGCGTCTGAACCACATCAGGCGGTAAGCCATAAAGCTGCAGGACTGCACATCTGATGTTATCCTCGTGCAGCCAGTTGAGCGTGAACTTGGCTTCGTGATTCAAAATTGGTATTTTCGGCTGCCTTCCTCCAAACAGATGGCAGATAAAGAAAGCGACCGGTTGCTTTGCAAGCTTTCCGTGGGGTGACACAAACACATTTGTGGTTTGTTTGTTTCATTTCCAACATTTTACTACAGGATTTGTAATGTAAAAACATCTATCCTTTCAAATTGCACCTTGAGAACAATTCCATCTTTCACAAGCAAAAAGACACATCAGATAAATCAACAACTGAACTGAACTGAACTGAAGTTCCTGATGCTGTTTGATCTTTTATCTACAACCAGGCTCAACCTTTTTTTTCCGCTAACATTCCTTTTTGATACTTAAATAACAGCCAGCGTACGATCTACGGAGGTTATTCATGACCCCAGAGGATGAGCCCTTTTAATTGCACACTGCCTGATCTTTCCTCAAGCCCCACCTTCATGCCACGCCGAGCCGATTAATGAGATATTTGCCGAGTACATTCAAGTTCCCATGGTGATAAACACTTTTTGATTTGAACATATTCAATTTTCCGCAAAACCTCTATCAAAATGATATTTGCATCACTTTTGTATTGTGGGGTTCTCAGGTCCGTTTGGTGCATCCTGTCTATTTAAATTACAGTCTCCTGTCAAACACCACAGCTTTACCCTGAAGCAATATTTTTCATTATTCACATCAGCAGTGGCCCTCAATCGTCCTGCTTAGGTCAGCACCATTCAGGGATTTTCCCCCCATAAACTGCAGGAATAGAAAGGTTTCTCTTGAAAAATGCCAATATAAACACTTCTATGAAATATTATCCAGAATAAGATATTTGCAAGTGGAAAAAGATTGCTGTAATGTTCCATTTGCACTAACATCAAAACTGAAGCGACGCCGTCCACGAGGACGAGGAACAGCAATGACAACAGTAAGCTTAACTAAGGAACACAATAGAGACGCCTGTGTCGCTTGGTGCTGTTTTTCAATTGCCTTATTTCGGTTAATAGACTGAAATCGGCACATCTGGAATGTGTGCAACAGACTAAAGTACAGTATTATTATTCTGTAATTGTAGTTAATGAGAAACATGCACGCAGTGAATGCATCCAATTCTTAAAAGCTGCTAACTTCCGTTGATTTCGTTGTACACAAGCTTCGTCTCAGAGCAGCGTCGTCATAACACAAACCAGAGGCTTTTTGGGGCTGGAGTTTTTTTTGACAAAGATAAACTCAGTTTATTTGGCGTTAAACGCTAAATGACAGTATAACTACTGCAGAGGGGGCAAAACATGGGAGATATGGGTAGATATGGGTATCAGTTAAATGAACCATTACAAGCTAAATAAAGTAATAACGATCATCATGAACGATACAAGTTGCTTGATGTCTGTAACCTGCATGCACAGTGTGGCAGGATTGCAAGAGAATTACTTTCACCCTGTTGTGGTCCTTCCCTCGGCTGTTTGGGTTTGGACTCGTCCCAGGCAAAAGCCCGTCCAAATGAGATCAACGCGTGGCCGCTGTCCAACAGCTCCAGAGCTCAGCAGCCTGAGAGGAGGAATAAAAATCCAAAAAACATAGGACGCCTAAGCATTAGAGGAGCAGCAACTCACAGTTCTTCAAATATTATTGTCCCTTTAATTGCAGTATACATGAAAACCCTGTGTCATGTAGATATGCCTGATCACAGGCGTGTTGAGGATTATTCTCTGTTGATGGGAGCTTGTCAAAGTGACATATCCAGGCCATTTGGATAGTATCGCCTGATACCCTGATTCCTGCTCGGGTAGGATAGTGCTCCCGATTGCGGCGCGGCTAATCACAGTGTGGCAAAAGCTGTTTAATTGGAAGCCGGGATAATGATCCATTTCGAATGAGGAGGATCATCAGGGCTTCCAGCACCTAGTGGGCCTGCTCGATGCTGTGGTTGTAAACACATAATAGCTTAATGATGGGACAATTTGGAAGCAGCTGGAGGCAAAGCAGGCGAGGCAGCTGTTTCAGTTCAGACCGAACTGGGGGGGGGGGGTTGCACTGCGAAAACCGCAACACTGCAACAGCACACAGCTCTGCGCACGCACTTATTTATAGGTAAACTCAAATCACACTCAGTGAGGTAGCTAAATAGTACAACTGCTGCTTTGGAAAAATAAATAAAACGGTTCAATGTGTGAAGGTGAGCTTCAAAAGAGAGGAGCATATTTATCACGCTGTCAAAACACAAAAACAACACAACATCTTTGAAGACCATCAGATAGTTTGGAGTTTGGGTCTTTTGTCGAGTAAAACCCTTTGTCACTCGCACACCACTGCTAATAACACACATGACAAAAGGAGCACCGCTGCAAAAATGGAATCCAAGTGCAGTTGAAGCTTTTCGTAAGCTGGTGACAACAAACAGTGTTACTGGGTTAAAGCCAGCAGGAGACCGTAGGAGCTGCAGAGCCCTCTGCAGGCAGCAGACATCTCTTAGGTCTGTGGTTCCAGAAAACACAGCCACGGTCCACAAGAAAAAAACATCACTCACATTCCCCTGCCCACAAGCCTAAAAACTGTAATTTAGTGGTTTGCGCAAACCGATTTACTTGGCCGAGATGACTGAGGTTTTATGCTCCAGCGGATCTCAGTTCCTCCGCATTAGTCTCTCGTGTTTGTTGTTGCTTTTTAAAACAATGGACATTGAAAAGATAATTTAGCTCTCCAAAACAAATTGTCTTTTGGAAAACTGTTGACTGGAAAAAAAACGACATTAAGGTGTCTTCTTTGGATGCTCCGCAGATTGTCATTAGAAACAAATGAAGATGGCAGTTTTTTCGCTCTATTCTCAAGTGGACAACTCACAGAACAAGCACATAGTGTACATAGAACTGATCTGATCTGTGCAACCACAAACAGACATACACAATCATATTTTTAATCATGTGGTTCTGGAGAGAGTTACTGGAAAACACTTTTCCTCGAATAGAGGCTTTTAGTTAACGTATTAAATATATATATTTATTGCAAGCAGTCAAGTTAGTAGTAACTCTCAGAGATTTTATTCTAATCCCAGATGCTCCGAAACTGAATGCTGATGTTTGAGTGAGACGCAATTTTCTCCTCGTGCTGTTAAGTGTCAGGGAAATCCTAAATAATGTATTATTATTTACATCCCTTGGCTTAGACAAATAAATGGCGGGTACATCCTGACAATAACAAAGCACATAAAACTGAGCACGTAAAGTGAAGGAGAAGGGAGGCTAAAAGCTGCACTGCTTCCCCTACTGCAGTAACTGCACATACAACCTTTCCCTTTCAGGGCTTTACTTCGATTTTTTTGAGTGATTGTGAAAAATATGGTAACGCTTGACCCGTGAATGTGACAAATAGAAAGCAGGCTGCCTACAGCTGTGAACAATTACAAATAGTGGTTGGAATGCTTCTCCGCTGCTGCTCCCAGGAATGTGCATCATTGCCCTTTGTCCTCTGAACAAATTGGGGGGAAAGACTATTGAAGCCGGCATAACGCTCCAGGAAAGTTTTAAAGCTTTACATTCTCTTGACTGATACCAATCTTGACACCTGTGAAAATGGCAAAACACTGAGTTGCCTTGGTAACACTTTATAGTAAAGGTAAATGTACAATCATTAATACATGCATGACATTTATTCAAACAGCATCTCATGAAAGAACAGTACAAGAATGAATGCAGCATCACAATTTCAGTGTTATTTAAAATGTTCATCTATTCTTCGTTGGTAAGTCGGTCTTTTAATGGAGCAGGCCAGAAAATGACCAGTAAAACATCTATTGTGGATAAAACTTTTACTTTATTGGCTTTGTTATCAACTAGAGTTTGTAATATATGTTATTTATCAGTGTTAATGACGGACCTGATTGCCACAAATGCAATGAAGTAAATGAAAAAGTAAATTCAACTAATTTAATATGGACTTTTTGGGCCCTTTAATAACCAAGGCACCTTTACATGTCGATCATCAATAGCGTAAATGGTTTAAAGATAAAAATGGGCTGAATTGTCAGATAAGCTGTCAGTAAGCGCTGCCTGAAGTCAGTGTATAAAATGGTGAATGGCAATAAAGTGTCAGCTAAACTTTACGTGCTAAATCACGTATCAACATAGAAAGTTAGAGGAGCTGAAGACTTGAAGAATGAAATCTCAATAGAAAAGAAGGCGGTGAGTGCCGTTAAAATGTCAGTTGAAGTGGAAGCACTGTGGTGTCAAAATGTCAGTTTGGTATTTTAATCCCAGGCAGGAAAATTGCTTTGCAGCAGACACATAGATAAGTAACCTTTAAAGCTAGTTATATATTATATATTGTAAAATAAAGGTACAATGAATAAGACGCACAAACAGTAACTATAAAATGAAAAAGGGCAGAGTGCACTGACACGTGGATAGAATACAATACAACAATAAAAATAAATATTACATGAAAACAACAAATACTGGGTTGCATTTGGTATTCAATGGTGAAAACATCAATTTGAATATCCTCCACCATTAAAGTGGTTTAGTCTCGTTCTCAATGTGCCTGTCTCTCTGCATTCAACCTTAAACAGCTCCTTCAAATCAATGTAACCCAGGGGAGAAAAGATAAGTACACAATCAATACCTGTGAACACCAGAAGCTTATTTGAACAAGGTTTTCGTTATTGTCCCCTTTGCTAAAATGAAAGCCGACACGCAGCAATTTAAGGTGTAAATCTCTGTGGGTTTGCACAGCACAGGAAATGAGGACAGATCCTTCTTAAAAATCTCCATTCCAATCTGACAAGTTTAAACAAAGTAATTTCAGGCCCAACCCACCTGCAGCGCTGTCGGGCCTCGTCGGGGGTGTCTCGCAGGAAGACAATAATTTGTCGAGTAGCCCGATTGAAATGAGCTGGACGCAGTCGGCTGTGAGTCGAGTGACAGCTGGTAAGCGCTCCTTTTAGAAAACATAATGATGCTCTAATTCATGTATTACATACAGCTTTGTGGTATTTAACAAATCCTACAGCGATGCTCAATACAAAAACACATCAGAATGAACCTTTCCTAAAAAATATGGACACTGGGGTTAAACTGGGTTAAAAATGGAACTTGTTGTGGGTTATTTTCAATGGCTGTTTTGGTGTGCTGGCCAGTATTAACGTAAGCAGTGCGGTGCACATGGTACCGTCCAGTATTGTCAATTATTTTTTAACAATAAATAATCTATACCAGTCTCTAGCTATTACTTGGATTAATTTATTGTTTTGTTGTCTTTTTGAGGGATTTCTTTTCCGAGATAATCATTAGCAGAATCACCACATTTTCCCCTTTAAAGACATCAAAGGAACACAACATATTTATCACATTTCAAGTTTTTGTCTGCTAGAAAAGAGGATCATCTTTCACTTTGCCCTTCCTGCGGTGGGCCTGAAGGGCTGAGGTTGCTAGGCGATGGTGGCTATCTTTGTGGTGACGTGATCCCCCTCGGGCTTGATTCTCACTCATCACCTCCACAGACAGATGCAGGGACATGTGCGTACACAGTCCTTCCTCCGGCTCTGCTCTTATCCCCGGGAGGCCGTTGTCACTCACTCATTGCCGTGCCAAGGCGGGTTTAAAGGTAAGACCTGACGGGACCTGGTGAACCAAATGGTGACAACAAGCTGTAAACGGCAAGCTCTATTTGTTCTTCAAGCTTGGATAGGTTCAGAGCTTTATTTTTTATTGCTAAGACACATAAAAACAAGTGTAAATCCTCCTTAAATGACTTGAGCATCCCTAAAAGACGATTGTAAGTTCACAGACATCTTGGTAGAAAAGGACGGGTGATCGCTGACTAAAATATGGACTGTAGACAATGCACAATGGGGTTGAGTGAATTAAAAAAACAAATTACAGCAAAAAGCACTGGACGGTATCGTATTTAAAACAGCCGTGCAAGCAGCTCTATGAGCATGTACTTAAGCTCAGTTGTGCTTTGAGCTGCATCCTACACTAATCAGTGATAATAGCACCCGGTAACGAACACCGTCATTTCCATCCAATTCACGCTGTGTAGCTCAAAATCACAGATTACAAATCTGCCTCAGAGGGTTTTACAGTCTGTACACATGTGGCACCCTCGGCCCCAAAACCATATTTCTTTAACCAAAAGCAATGTAGCCAGATGTTACCTTACACAAAAGGCAATGCTTTTACAAGCGTTCTATTATTCAACCACCAAAGTTAGTAGTGTTCCTCCTCTGGGGGGCCGGAATGTCTAAATCGGTCCACAGCAATCCATTCAATAGTTACAATTTTTTTTTTAGAGCAAGGCCACTGACCTGATATTGCCGTCTCTAGAGTCAAGGTAAACTACATTGTGAAGGTAATGTCCTTGAACTAATCCCAGGTTAATCGTCTGAAAAGCCCTTAATTACTGCTTTCTGGTGAGAGTTTCACTGACTGAAAGACTCAATGGCCGCTTCACTGACACAGCTGTAAAAGTACAAGGTGGTAGTTACTGTTCATGGAGCTAAACACTCCCTACCCACTGATTCAAGTGGCTTACCACATTTGCAAAGTCTGACT